TCCAGCTCTGCAGCTCTAAGATTATTATTATATATATTTTTATGTATAATAATCAGTGCAGGTTCTAGCAGATAAGAACTAGAGAGAGAGAGAGAGAGAGAAGAGTGTAATAAGAACACAGAAAGAAAAGGTATTGGTTTGCCTACATTTCTCCAGAGTTTGGAGATAACACATCACAAGTGACAGAGCATACTATGTTTTGGGATGATGGGAAAGTGATGGCATTTTTTCAACACCCCCTGCCCTCCCCACGATTGACTGTTTTGGTTTTTTGTTGGTTTTTTTATTTTTTTGGGGGGGTGCAATGATAACTTTCTCCCTGGGGAAACAACAGCATAAAAATGGAAGGATTTAATTACTGAATTAAATGAGATGTATTCATTACTCCTCAAATGTTGCTGTGCTGAGGTATTTATTTATTTATTTACTTTTGGCTCTTTCTATATTTTAAAGCTTTTGAAAGAAACTTAACTGAAAAGTAGGGGACTATAATGGCTTGTTCTTATAAAAATGAGCAGAAAGTAACGTTAATAAGTTAGAATGGTGGTGATGATGATGATGCTTTAGCACACTGGTTGTTTTACAACATTGGTTTGGATTCTTTTTAAACCACTAAATATAGAATGATGTTCATTTGTCCTCAAATGTCGGAGTCTCTTAGCCCTTGAGTCTTTCAATAACAGAGGATGATGTCATAAATTATCGTAATTAATCTACATTATGACCTATTGTCAGATCTCCTTTCAATAAAGAAGTATATTTGTTGTGATGTGCCAACTAGTTGAAACTGACTTAAAGACACCCTAATACAGTTTTGAGGTAACTGAGATATTAAAAGAGTCGTTTGATCAGTTCCACACTTGTTGAGCTTCCCTGGCTGAATGGGAATTTGAACCCAGGCCTCCTGAGTCTAGTCCATCACTCTGTCCACTACACCACACTGAGTATCAAGTATATTCACCTTGAGGTAATTCATCAGGAATATTTGGATGTTATGGGATGAACATTTCATTCACTGCAATAAAAGGACCTTATTTTCATGACTTCAGAACATTCAACTTGATAACCCTGAAATTTCATTCTCTAATTTTTTTTTTCCTGGAAAAGAGTTTCACACCCGCCCGCTCCCAATAGTCAAATCACTTTTTTTTCTTAAAAGCTCAGGGCAAATTTAATTAAAACATTAGACTGTTCACTGTGAAAAATTGAGTTTACTTTGTTATATTAATTATATTTGTCCTACAGCTGTAAAGCACAGTCAAGAGTTTAGATCACTTCAAATTACTATCCTTTCTTCTTTGGCATCCCACGGTTAAGCTGTGAAAAGTTCATTCCTTTCCAAATGACATTCTGAATTCTGTTCCATTTTTAGGAAAGTTTCAGATTAGAGATGGGCACGAACTGCGGATTTGGTGGTTCGTGCCTGTTCGTCCTTTGGGCAAACAGATGTCCTGCAGTTCCCAGTCTGGCCCCCTCTAGTGGATGCCCACTCATAGGCAGCGCCTCAGCCTCCCTGCCCCGCCTCCTCTGAGGACTGCGTCTGAGTGGGCACTTGCTGGAGGAGGCAAATCTAGGAACCACTGAACCTCTGTTCGTCTACAGGACAAACCAGCACGGACGCTTGAACCGTTGATTCATGCCCATCTCTACTTCGGAATGTACATGCTGAAAATAAATTTAGGAATCTGACAGCTGAAAAGAAGCACCTTCTGCCATTAAAACTTGCAAACGTAGGACAATCTAGGCATTAAGAGGGAGGTGTATTTTCTTCAGCGAGCTCATTTCCCCTCCCACAATGGAGTTTCTCCAGATATACAGTACATGACTTGGCCGTCGGATTCTCTAATTCATCCCTGAGATTATCATCAGAGGCCTAGCTGTCTGCCCTTGGGCCTTTTTGAAGGAACTCTATAACCGGAGCTGCTTTTGAAGAATCAGAAAGGGAGAGGTGAAGAAACAGAGAAATTGAGGGACCATGAAATCCATCTGGGCAGATCAGGCTTCCCCCCCCCCACCCCAACTCCAAATGTTTTTGGAAACTTTTTGGAACTTTTGCTTTTTTAGAATTTCCACCGTTCTTAATAAAACATAAAAATCTCTGCAACCGACTCTCTGGGCTTTTGGCACAGAGGGTCTGTGATACTAGAATCAGGTCTTCCCTTCACCTATTGGGAGTTTGGGTATATTTTTTGCTGATGTGGTGGCAGCTTTACCATGTGGAGGGGGTGTAGTGATTCCGAGCGCAAAGCCTTGTGGAGTTTTGGACTCTCTGGAAGGACTGCTAGGTCTGCGTAGACTTAGGGAGCATTGCCACCAGGCAGGTTCCATCATCATCACAACAGATGACGCTCCCTGGTTCACCTGCCCCAGGATACACAGGGTAGTGTGGGTGAGTGGCTAGAGAGGGATTCCCTGAACCGAGGTATTGTCACAGGAGTTATAATAGCAGGGCTGTGAATAAGGTGGTGGAAACTGTTTCTTCACCAAACTTTAGAGGGCACCAAATGCAGAAGTAAATCTGGTAGTGATTGTTAGGAACATAAGCAGCAAGACCTCCTTAACCGATTGGCTTTCCATTTTCTGAATACATACATTTTCTCTTTCTTTGGGTGGAACCTCACTTATTTCCCTCATTTTTAAGCTGGATGGAGTGCCATGTCTATGCCTGAGGGTGGAGGGGATGGGTTCTATGTCAGAGAGGACAAGAACCTCAAAAGAAGGTGAAGATGTGAGAAAGAGAGGAAAAAGGGGCGTGTGAAAAATATGGGCGGGGGAGGCTTTCTAGGCGAGACACTGATTCGATATCTAGAAATGGTGCTCCCTGAAGGAAAAAATCCTGTCTGTTTATTCTAACACAAACTAGCCTTTGTTTTCTTTTTTAATTGGTCAGTTGGGAGACTTCACATTTTGCTCATCTGATGCTTCAAGCAGAAAACATGGGAAGAGAGGATGAGAGAAGAAAATGGGAGAGCCTGAGTAAAGAAGAGGAAGAAAAAGAAGAAAATGAGAGAGAGAGAGAGAGAGAGAGAGAGGTGAGCCCTTCCACAACAAGAATTATGATGGCTCTCCTATGTTGTACCTATAGCAACCCAATGCTTCCGCTTAAGCTAAACCTTGCTTTCTGATGTTTGCAGTTTTTATACATATTAATGATTCAAAGCTTTTACCTTTGGGCCATTTTTTGCTTTTTACTCTCAGGGAAGCGTAGTGAAAAGACTAGAAGGAAAGACAAGAAAGAAAACACCAGTCAGTTACAAGCTCATGGAAAAGCTGGACAAGGATACTTTAGACAAAAGCCAACACTCTGTAAAAGAAAGCCAAATAAATAGTCTCCTGCTGCCTCTCCTGACCCCACCACCTTGAAAATATTCTCTCCCCCCCCATATGCTTTAATGAGCTACTGTGTGGAAGTAAACATGATACATGTGCTGATAAAATGGGTAAAGAGGAACAGCTGGAAAATAAAGATGGGTATGAACCACTGGTTTTTAAAGGTGGGTCCAACAAAGTCCTTCTGCTTCTACACATGTACCGAATTTCAGTCTTCGGAGCTCATTTCACATTTCATAAGCCTTTTCAAACCTGGCTCTTAACCCAAACACTTAACCATCAGCAACATCATGGTTTGGTTTCCATCCTTTCAGTTTGCTGGCTTCTGTTCTGCCTGTACTGCTAAATGGTTTTGATGTCTTTTCAAAGTACAAACTGTTTCAATTGTATTCAAATTCCTTTAGATTCTCTTAAGGTGAATGCCTTTATTGTACCGAACCCTGAGATTGGTCCATATGAGGTCGCAAATGTTTTACTAGACAGACAGACAGAATCACTGGTATTATTTCTTCTAAAATGGGTCAAGGGTTTTATGGTTAAACCACAGGGCTATAGCAGTTTGAAGAGCTGGCCTACTGTGGTTCCCAACCTTGGGCCTACCGGATGTTCTTGGACTACAACTCCCAAGAAATCCCGGCCAGCACAGCGAATGGCAAAGGCTTCTGGGTGTTTTAGTCCAAGATAACCTGGGGACCAAAGGTTGGGAACCACTGATCTACAGAGTGTCCGGATCATTCGCAGGCATACACAGTCATCAGACTTTTGAGTGGCTCCCCAATTGTTTGGGGGTAGAGATGGGCACGAACCACCCATTTGGTCGTTTGTGCTGCTTTGTTTGCTGGCCGAACAGGTGTTTGGCAGTTGCCAGCCCTGCCTCCTCCAGCAGGCGCCCGATCAGAGGCAGTGCCTGGAGGAGGCGGGGCAGGGAAGCTGGGGCGCTGCCTCCAAGTGGGTGTCTGCTAGAGGAGGCGGGTTTTTGAAGTGCTGAGCACCTGTTTGGCTGATCAATGAACCGGCATGAATCGCTGAACTGGCGGTTCGTGCCCATCTCTAATTCAGGGCCACATCCTTAACCACAATTTATCAAAATACTATCTTTGCAGTGGGGGGAAGAATCTCTGACTGGCCTAATCTGTCCTGTAGAAGGTTAGAATCTAAGGGTGTGCTCAGACGGTGAGAACGGATTGTGCCGGATCGTGCCAGAATGGGTTGCTTTGATGGGAAGTGATCCTTCGGTCTACTGGGAGATCGCTCCAGCCCTGCCCCTCCCAAGAGTAGCCCTGCCTGTGGACCAAAATAGTGAAGCTTGGGCATGGATCAGGGTCAGATGGAAGCACTATGGGCTGTATGCCATGGGAATGCAAGGAAATAGCTTGCACTGGCCGATGCCACGAGCAGTTCCCCCCCTCTGTGATTGCCTCCTGAGCTACAGATCTGGATCCCACCCTGTGTGCTTCAGCTGGGGATGGAGTGACATAACTGGGTGCAGCTGTACTCTCTGATGTTCTGTAGACTTCAGAGGGCTGAGAGAGAGGGCCTGGTTCAGGGCGGCCACCTACACCTCGCTGAAAAGGAGATCAAAGGAAAACCAAGGGAAGATCCCAGTTCATGGTGGTGCAACATAGAGTAACTGCCGGCGAACTCTGCAGGAGTAACACCCAGGCAAAGCAGATTGTGCAATTCCGTCATGCAGGCAAGCATGTGGTTCCTGCTGTGACCAATTTTGCACAATGCGCTGGTAGAAATGCTTTGTGGATAGCACTTCCAGCCTTGATGCTTCTGTAGCTACTGAGGGTATAATACGATATGCCTATATAGCCATGCAACAAGATTCTGGTTACTGCAAGATTGCACATGCTAATATCTCTGTACAAGCACAAAATTAGAAATGAATGTTATCATTTGAACAGAACTACCACGTATCCTGCCATACTGGAGTTGGTGACAGTCTCCTTCTGGATCTGCTACCCAGGTGCTAACAGTGAATGGGGAAACTGTTGGATTTTTTAACAAACTTGTATGCTGCCTTTACTTTGTTTGTCTGGAAGGGACCTTTCTGGGCTGAAATGACTGTTGATCTATCCAGCAGCAACCTCCTGGCCCCTGAATTCAAAGGGAACCCCACCTCTCTTCAGAGTACTTCTTTACCTTTCTTTAGTCAGTTGGAAGTAGTTATTGGTTGTTAGTTTACTGTTGATCGGTTCACAACTGTAAGTAATGAAACTTTTTTTTTATTCTTCTACAAATATCTCAGAATGAGTTATTGAGATTTTTAAGTGGCAGTTAATGAGAAAGGGGTGGACAATCTGGGGAACTTGTAGCTATTCTTCTTCTGTCTAGGAAAAGGGAATTTTAGTAGAAATGCAAAACAGAACCTGCAGGTTCCTGATCTCCCTCCTACATGGTTCTTTAACATGAAATCCCATATGGGGTGCCTTTCAAATGGGGAAACACTTTCAAAAGGAGGATGTGGCCACCTCATGCAGTCCCCCTTCACAATATGGTCCTCCACCCTGCTTAAAAAACTGTCGCTTGGGCCAACCTAGAGGACAGGTTGCTTTCTCACTCCTTGTCGTCTTTGCTCAGCAGTTACATCTCAAAACAGGAGCTAGACATACTGGCTGGCAGTTTTCAGAATTCTCTGGCCCAGATTTTTCTCCTCTTGAAAAAAAGTGCCATCTCTCTCTTTCTTTCTCCTTTGAAGCACAAAATGACACACGGCCACACGGTGTTATTTTAAGTCAGCAGGAGCCGTCTGTTTGAGAAGCCGTTCTGTGGCATTCTTTTGGCTCCAGCGACAAAGCTGAAAGCCAACAAATATCACTGCACACATGTGATATCTGCTGTTTTTTTGGTTCAGGAGGAATCTTTCTTGACAGTCTGCCCTGAAATCAGAGATAAAAATAGCAAGAAGAAGAGGAGCAAGCTGCTCGGTAGCGTCATCCCCCTCCCCCACTCCCTGTATGGATCGATCGGCGCTACTGAACTAACTCAAGTCTTGCCAAAAGATCAAGGAGCAAGGCTCCATCAAATGGCATATTAGACTAAAAGCAGAGGGTTACGACAGCACCACTTGTAACAGGCTGCTGTCTCCCCCGCCCTGCGGTCTGTGTGGCAGATCTAGTGATCTGAATTGGACACGTCAGGGGGCATTCCCCATCATGCGCAGTGGCTCTTGGGTTTAGGGGTGGCATTTATCAGTTGCTCTCAGGGCTGGCCCAAGGCTGCCTAGAGGAATAAAGGATGTGAAAAGAGAAGATGCCCAGTTCCCGCAGCCAGGCAACGGTCGAAGGGCGCGGTTACACGGCCAAGAAGAACTGATTTTGAATGGAGTTTGGTTGAATTAGGCAAGATTTTTTTTTAAAATCCTGAGTCGTAGAGGTGGGCATGAACAGTTGGGTTTGACAGTTGGGTGCCCCTGCCACCTCCAGGCACTACCTCTGAGTGGGTACCCACTGGAGTGGGTTGGGCACCAAACCACGGATCAGCTGTTCGGTCAAGAAACAAACGGCACCGAAACGCTAAATCAGCAGCTGATGCTCATCTCTAATCCTGATTGTATGACACAGGGTGAATCCCGCTCTCTCTCTCTCTCTCTCTCTCTCCGTATGACACAGGGCGAATCCCACTCTTTCTCTCTCTCTTTTTGCCATAAAGCAAGGTTTTTGGCAGAGTCCAGCAGAGGCTTTTTATTTTAACTCGATTGCGAAACCAATTCTTTATGAATCACTCCAGTCCATGTATACTGTCCCTGTAAATCAGGAAAAGCTTGCATTTCTTCCTCTTCTTTCCTCTTTCTGCTCCCCCCTCCACTGTTTCCAGTCTGGCTCCATCTGGCTCTGTCCTCTTGCTCCCCCCCCAGCACGCCTTCTGTGCAGCGCCCGACGCACTTCTGCAGCTCAATTGGCAGCGCTCCTTGACCTCGAGCAGGAGGTGAAGCGGGCGAGGTGAGGAGGAAGGATAGATGGAAAAGGTGGCTTGTGATGGGTGGTGGTCCCAGGAGGATAATTGTAGCGGGCCTCATGTTCTTTGATGGAAAGCTCTGCTCTTCCCCAACCCGTAAAGGGTGGCCAGGTTCTCTTCTTGTTGAAGTTAAGCAATAAAGGGGTAGGGGGTGGTGGCAGGAGGTATCGATGGAGATCTTCAGCCAAGGAAGCCTGAGAGTTGCCTAACGGTGCCCGTGGAATAACGACACGGGCAAGGAGGACAGGGAAGGGCCAGTTACTTCTGAGAATTCTCCATCTGCAAAAACCCTGAGAAGGGCTAGCATAAGTCAGAATTGAATTGATGGCACATCATGATGATGATGACGACGACAATGATGAAAAAATACCAGGCACAATCAAAATTATAAAACTCGGATATTACGTTACGCGTTTTAACCAAAAACCTTAGAATCTGTTAAATATCGATTTAGTATATATGCTGTTCCTAATATTGCTATTTTTCATAGCTCTGTTGATTCTATTTCTGAAATCTGCAACTGCTTATAATGCGGTGTGAAATTTCTTGATATCTTTCCCAAAGCCCCAATGATGATGGGGACCACTGCAGTGTGTTTCACCCACAAGTGAAATGTTTGCCAGGTCTCTGTATTTTGTTAGTTTTTTCCAGTTCTTTATCTTCAACTCTGCATCCCCTAGAATTGCAATGTCAATGATCCGGACATTTCTTCATTCTATTACTACTACGTCTGGTGTGTTATGTTCAAGGTGTCTATCCATTTGGATCTGGAAATCCCACAAGATCTTGGACTTCCTCATTTTCTGACACCTTCTCTACCTGATGTTCTCATTGGTTTTTGGAGGCTGGGAAGTCATATTTTTTGCATAATGACCAGTGCACTAATTTTGCCACTCAATCATGTCTAATTTTGAATTCTGTTT